GATCCACTGTTAGTCTGATGGGCTTCCCTTTGTGGGCAACCTGACCTTTCTCTCTGGCTCCCCTTAACATTTTTTCCTTCATTCAACCTTGGTGAATCTGCCGATTATGTGTCTTGGGGTTGCTCTTCTCAAGGAGTATCTTTGTGGTATTCTCTGTATTTCCTGAAGTTGAATGTTGGCCTGCCTTGCTAAGTTGGAGAAGTTCTCCTGGATAATATCCTGAAGAGTATTTTCCAATTTGGTTCCATTCTCCCTGTCACTTTCAGGTACACCAATCAAATGTAGATTTGGTCTTTTCACATAGTCCCATATTTCTTGGAGGCTTTGTTCATTTATTTTCACTCTTTTTTCTCTAATCTTGTCTTCTCGCTTTATTTCATTTCATTGAGTTGATCTTCAATCTCTGATATCTTTTCTTCCACTTGATCAATTTAGCTATTGATTCTTGTATATGCTTCATGAAGTTCTTGTGTTGTGTTTTTCAGCTCCATCAGGTCATTTATGTTCTTCTCTAAACTGGTTATCCTAGTTAGCAATTCGCCTAACCTGTTTTCAAGGTTTTTAGCCTCTTTGCATTCAGTTAGAACATACTCCTTTAGCCTCAAACTTATGGGCTGAAGCAATTCTTCTGCCTCAGCCTCCTGAGTAGCTTGGACTACAGGGTCACACTGCCATACATGGCTAATGTTTTTTAAATTTTTTTGTGGGTATGAAGTCCTGCCGTCTTGCCTAGACTGGTTTTGAGCTCCTGGGCTCCAGTGATCTTCCCCCACAGCTTCCTAAAGTCCTGGAATTACAGGCCTGAGCCACTGTGCTCCCACCACTTTCATTTTTAAAAGGATAGTTTCAGTAGATGTAGAATTAGGAGTCAACAGATCTTTTTTCTTTCAGTACCTTAAATATGTCCTTCCATTTAGTCTGACTTTTGTTGTTTTTATTGAGAACTGACTTATTTGTATTTTTGTTACCTTGTGTGTAATGTGCCACTTTTCTCCATTGCTTTTAAGATAGGTTTTCTTTGCTATTTTTTTTTTTTCTATCTGGATTTAAGTGGTTTGTCTATGGTATGTATATTTGTATTTTCTTTGTATTTATCCTGTGTGGAGTTTGTCAGTTAGCTTATTGGATCTGTAAATTAATATCATTAACAAATTTGGGAATGTTTTACTTTTTTGAATATTTTTCTGTCCCATTCTATCTCTTCTCTTCTTTTGGTTCTTCTTCCTCCTCCCATCCCCACCCCAGTTTTTAGATTGGTAATTTTTGTTAAGAAGAAACTTTCACTTCTACCATCTTCAGTTTTCTCTTTATCCTGTCCAGTTATTATTATTCTTTTTTTTTTTTTTTTGAGAAGGAGTCTCGCTCTGTCACCAGGCTGGAGTGCAATGGTATGACCTCAGCTCACTGCAATCTCCACCTCCCAGGTTCAAGCAATTCTCCTGCCTCAGCCTCAGTAGCAGGGACTACAGACACACACCACCATACCACCTAGCTAATATTTGTGTTTTTAATAGAGACAGGGTTTCACCATGTTGATCAGGATGGTCCCAATCTCCTGACCTTGTGATCTGCCTGCCTCAGCCTCCTGAAGTGCTGGGATTACAGGCGTGAGCCACAACGCCCGGCTCTATTATTTTTTAAAGAGGCAGTCTGTCACTCACTCTGTCACCCAGGCTGGAGTACAATGGCATAATCATGCCTCACTGTAATCTCAAATTCCAGGGTTCAACAGATCCTGTTGTCTCAGCCTCCCAAAATGCTGGCATTATAGACATGAGTTTCCACACTCAGCTTCAGTGAATTTTAAATTACAGTTACTGAACTTAGTAACTGGAGAGTTTTGCTTGTTTTCTAATATTTTCAATGTATTCATTTATCATGCATACATCCTACATTAAGTCTGTCATTGTTAATAGTTGCTTTAAAGTAATTATCTGATGATTGCAGTATCTGGGAAAGCTTTGGGGTCTGTTTTTATTGACTGCTTTTTCCCCACTGGAGTATGGGTCACATTTTCCTATTTCTTTGTATGTCTAGTGTTTTTTTATTGAATACTTGGCATTTTGAATGATGCATTTGAGAGATTCCGGATTCTGTTTTACTTCTCTAAAACAGAATTTTTATTCTAGAAGCCAGTTAACTGGACTAAACTCAAACTCTAGACTGTCTCCTCTCTAGTGATAGTGCCAAAATCTTCACTTAGTTATTTCATCTTTCAGTGGCCGATTTATGCCACTATTCCTGGGTTTCCCTTCCTTGCCTCACAGTTAGTTTAGTGATTCACACAGGACTTGGGAGGACTTTATATACATATTTTGGGGTTTACCTCCTCTTTGACTTCTTCCCTTTTATGAAATCCCTCCTAAATATCTGATAGTTCTGCCAGCATTGAACTCTGTTATCTGATATATCAAGCCCATAAGACTTGGCTTCCTGCCTAACCTACCTCCAGTGGCAAGCACATTTAACAGTGCCCTGGGTCATAAAAACCACAAATGTGGGCCGGGCATGGTGGCTCACACCTATAATCCCAGCACTTTGGGAGGCTGAGGCGGGTGGATTGCCTGAGCTCAGGAGTTCGAGACCAGCCTGGGCAACATGGTGAAACCCCCGTCTCTACTGAAATACAAAAATTAGCTGGATGTGGCAGCATGCGCCTGTAGTCCCAGCTACTCAGGAGGCTGAGGCAGGACAATAGCTTGAACCCAGGAGGCAGAGGTTACAGTGAGCCCAGGTCGCGCCACTGCACTCCAGCCTGGGTGGCAGTGAGACTTTGTCTCAAAAAACAAAGCAAAACAACAAAAATACCCCACAAATGTACAAATCTCACCTCCTGCAGATTTATCCTCCCAGTCACTTTCTCCTTTTGCCAGGGAACGTGTGCCCTCTGCAGGCAAGATAGTTTTCAGATATAGAGGAGTCGAGTTTATTACTGTCAAATTTCCAATCAGATAAGTTACTCTTTCTTTTCCAAGAAGAAGATACTGAGAGAGTGGTTGCGAGGAAAGGAATATATTGTTTGAGCTACATCAACATGGAAGTTGACGTAGGGAAGAGGTATTCTTTCCTGATACTCCCTAGCATTTTGTTCTCCTAATTGATAAGAGCCTAAACCAGCAGTCAGTTTAGTAGACGAGATTAACAGTTTGTCATATGGTTGGACTGCTTATAATTATTTTAAAATTGGGGGTGGAAGGAAGGAGGAGGAGGACTGAAAGCAGTTGAGAGCAACCGAAAGCGGAAAGAAACTGGATGGGAAAGAAAAACTAAGTTTCCCTCAAGACACTAGATGTATCAGAACAGTATAATGCTTATATCAAATCCATGCTCCCTATGTACCCAAATTAAGTTCCCACATTATTTTCTATTCCAAATTATTTCCAGACAAATTATCCAGGGTAACATATTTGGAGGTTTGGCAATTAAATGATAACTAATATATACTGCCCAGGAATCTAGGAAGGTATCCAAAGGCTAATAACCCAGAGGATATCTGGAAAATTGGCCATGTTGTGGACTTTACAGCTTGTCCTTGTTCATTTTATGCTTTTTATTTAAATCTACTTTGTCTGATATTAATATAGCTATCCTAATTTCTTTTTGTTAGTATTTATTTAACTGATATATCTTAACGCATATCTTTATCTTTCTTTGTCATTTTGTTTTAGATGAATCTCCAATACCGTATAGTTGAATTTTGATTTTTTTTATGATTTGAGATTCTTTGTATTTAAAAAGAAGTTTGCATCTATCATACTAAATAATATAATTGTGCTTTGTCTTCCATCTTCTTTTTTTGTACTGTTTGTTATATTGCCTTACTCCTGTTTTACTCACTTGGTCTTTTGCTTTTGCTACAGTTTTTCTGGCTCTTTTGTTTTACCCCCAGTAATTTGGAAATTAGACTTCCTGTTTTTATTTAATTAGTAATTACTTCAAATTAAAAGAAAGTGAACCTCTATTTCATTACTAACATGAAAAATACAATAGCATCTATTGATGTGCCTGGAAAGAACTAATGAGTCACATACTTGAGCATTTCCCTTTTGTTCCTACTCTTACAGTTTGTTGGAATAATTTGGGTTTTAGATCCAAATTGTTATTAGTATTCCTTCTTTTTATATATCCTTAAGAAATACTTTTCACATTTGCATTTCCTTATATAGCCATGTTAACCTTGTTAAGAATAACTTCTTAGACATTAATTTTTATGTTTACAGTTTACAATGTCCATCTGTATTTCTTTTATAAGGTATCTTCCCTTATACCTAAGGACTTTATTTGTGTAGAATTTATTGGACATTAAAATATTTCTTTGAGTGATTTTTAAAGAGTATGTGTTGGAATCTTTGCATATCTGAGAATATTTATTAGATGGATGTTTGTCTGACATAGCAATTATAACTATAGGAACTTTTCCTAAGGAACTGATAGTATGTAAAGATATATGTACAAGTTTGTTCATTTCGCAGTTTTATTACAAAAGCAAAACTTAGAAAGTAATAAACATCTATAAATAGATATCCGTCAAATAAAATATCTTCTCTAGACATAATTGTAAAATCATAAGTTTTATTACCTTTGTCATCCAACTGAAATTAATGTAAATATAATTAATTTTTTGCCTGTTTCTTGTGCAAGTTGAAATTATACATTTAGACCATATAAAGCAAGCATTAGCATGTTTGACTGTGATGATTAATATTAGTGGCCAGGTGTGCTGGTTCACACCTGTAATCCCAGTGCTATGTGAGGCCGAGACAGATTACTTGAGCCCACATTATAGTGAACTATGATTGCACCACTACAGTCCAGCCTGCGTGAGGGAATGAGACCCTTACTCTTTAAAAAAATTGCATTTAGTACCTTTTTTCCATTTGTCAAATTAAATATTGGCTAGCTAAACATTTCTTACTGTTATTATATAAATTTTATTCTATTATTATTATATAAACATATTAATTTTTTTAAGAAGTTCAGTTTTAGTCTGTTCATTTTAGTCACTCCATGGATTCCTTTGGGCAACCCAGACCAGAAGATAATCAGTCAGTAGTGAGCAGAATGCAAAAGAAATACTGGAAAACTAAACAGGTCTTTATCAAAGCAACAGGAAAAAAAGAGGATGAGCACTTGGTGGCATCTGATGCTGAACTGGATGCTAAACTTGAGGTAAATTTGAGCATTCTGTGTATTGTCTATTATTTGGGACACCATGGGGGACTGCAACAAGTTTTCAAACTGGAGAGCTTGTGGGGATAAATGCAAATTTGATAATAGAATGTTTAGTTGTATCCAGCTGTCAATTAGAGCTCTGAATAGGAGGTCACAGTTCTCACAAACTGAGAATTTGCAAAATTGGTATTCACTAAATTAGATAAAATATGAAGTTTCTCTGGCATACATATTATAATTTTTAAGCTAGTGAATTAATAACAATCCCAATTAAGACCATATACTCATTATATATCATGTCATACTGTTTTGTAGTACTTTGATGTGAAGTCTTATACCTCACTGAAATAATTAAATAGTGAATGAAGATAAGAGTTATTATTTCTATTTTACTAAAAGATAGAGTTAATGAAATTACTTCCTAATGCCTTTTTTTGGCTGTTTTTTATTTTAAATAAATAATTGCCATGGAACAATTTTAAACCAATAAATGGTTTAAAGTAATTAGGCTAATTAGCGAAGAGTTTCATGTAAATGAATACAGAAGTCTGAATTTTTAAATGCAGGTTTACTGACTCAACATATATATTCTAATTCAAGCTAACTCTTTCAAATATTTCCAAGCAGAGATTCTGTTATGCTTGGAATATAATCATTATGGTGGGATTCTTCCAAATACGGGTCTAATTAAACTGGTCTTGATCAAGTATTTTCTTCTGCATAATCTTATGTCATTGCCAAAACAAATATGGAAATACATAAAAATTTACAAGCTTTTACTGTTTCTGTTGAAAAGTATTCTTAGGATTCAGTGACAAATGTGTAAAAGTGAAGACTTTATTATTATTGGTGTTGTACGTTTTAACACAACTGTATATTGTTCCAGATTTATTCCCAGAGAAGTGAGAATGTATGAGGTTTTGATATTGTTTTACATTGTTAGGTCATCTGTGGGTGACGTGTTTTATATTCAGTGTAAATCTGTCCATTAGATAAATATTTGGAATCAACCAAGAACTTTCTCTCACATTTGTACTATTTTTTAAGAATGAGAAACAGTTTTATTATAAAAATAAAAAGCACTGGTACGTAAGTCTTGAAAAGACCTGTGGAAAAAAAAATCAAGCACAATCACTTCATCCTAGTAGAACTACCTTTTTTGTATTCTTTTCTAATCTTCTTCCACATTCATTTAAAACAGATTTTACAATTGCCAAATTCAGGTACCAACTGCACTTCAAACATGTCTAAACTTATAAGGAAAATTGATGCCTTCCCGTCCTTTAATATTTTAGTGTTTATTATCAGTCTTCTGTAGGTTTGATCAAACATCAAACTGCTCTAGAGATAGAATGTGCAGGTTTCTTGATGATAGTGGGCATTTGACAATCAAAGGGTTAGGGCTTAATACTACACAGCAGTACCAAGGTCTTTTTTAACTAAGTCACATAAAAATTCTTCAGTGAAGATGATTCTGAACAGACAGCCCTTGCTTAAAAAAAAAAAAATCCTCATTGTAGCACTTTGTGAGAAGGCTGTACACTAAAACGTATGCCAGCTTATTTATCTGGGAACACCTACATTTATTTGTGTGAAGAGTTATGTCATGTGTATAGTGTGTCCTCATCTCAAATTTTCATGTGCTTAATTTTGAAATGAGAGACTACTGGATATTTTCTTTTCTTTTAGCAATTAGCATCAGTAGTAATCAAATAATATCTATGGAAAATTCTAAACAAAAAACCTAAAAATAATTTATATTTGATGTCGTAATATATTATTTAATTTTTATAGTAAATTTACTAATCTGTTTTGCTTAGACCAATATGGGAGAAAAGCCAAGACTTGGAGTTAACACTTTCTAAGGTTATCTGTACTCTGTTCATCTGTGGTTGGCAATATTTGATGCAATTTATATTAGATCTGTCTTTTTGTTATTTAGATAGTTTGGGGCTGAGTTGAGGACAAACTCTTCAGTTTCAATTTTTTGTTTACTCCCCTATATTTATCATCATTTTTTCCAACTCTCATGGGAGAATATACTTTCTACATCAGACGTATAACAAAAATTGAAGTATGTCAAAGCCAAGGAAAAATAGATATAATGTTTTTAAGATAGATATAATACCTATAAGAAAATGTTATGCTTTTGGAGTGCTTATAACATACATTTGTTTATGATTCTTTAAATTGTCCTAATATAATTTATATTTCAAGGTTTTTCACTCCATTCAAGAGACATGCACTGAACTTCTGAAGATAGTCGAGAAATACCAGCTAAGACTCAATGGTATGAAATTATAGATATCTGTATGATAATATTTGTTAGCATTTTTTAAAATTAAAGATTTAATATAAAACTAGTAAAACTATTTTGTGAATAGCTTCTTATGACAAAATATGAATATTTATAGTGACCTGTTCTCAAAGGCCCCAGTATTCTGTCCCTTTTTTCCTCAGTTAATCAAATCCTCTGACCCAGATTTATTTTTTGCTGATATTCTTTTTTTCTTTGAGACAGGGTCTTCCTCTGTTACCCAGGCTAGAGTGCAGTGGTGTGATCACAGCTCACTGCAATCCCCACCACCTGGGCTCAAGTGATCCTCCCACATCAGCCTACTAAGTAGCTGGGATTACAGGCCTGTGCCACCATACCTGGGTAATTTTTGTATTTTTTTGTAGACACAGAGTGTCACTATGCTGCCCAGACTGCTTTCAAACTCCTGGCCTCAAGTGATCCTCCTGCCTCAATCTCCCGAAGTGCTAGGATTACAGGTGTGAGTCACCATGCCCAGGCCTGCCCAGCATCTGAAGTGGATTTGTTTCCATCACTTAAATCTCTTTCTCTTGACTCCCACTTGCCCTTGCAGTTAAATTCCATTCCTCTGCTCCTCCTTGCAGAAAAATGTGATGTAATTATCTGTATGCATGGTCTCTGTTCCTTTCCTTCCACTTTCTCTTGTACTCACTCCAGTCAAGTTTTATCTCCATCACTCTACTAAATTTCTCTTGTCGGGGTCATGATTAGCTAACTCCTGTCTAAATCTGGCTTATCACATTATTTAACACAGTTTATTATTTCCTTTGCCTTGATACACTCTCTTCACTTGGCTTTCCTGGTTTTCCTCCTACTGGTCACTCCTTCTTGGCATCTTGCCTTTGCCAATTCTTTTCTCTTCTGGACCTGTTCAGGTTGAAACTCAATCTTTGTATCTCTTCTCCTTTTTTAATTACAGTGGGCCTACTGGACATGGCTACCTCTCTAATTACAAGTCCTAAAAACCTTCCCCTCTTTAGCCATATTAATATCTTATACAGTAGGCCTATCTGCATAGTGGAATCCCTAACTTCCTTTGGGTATTTGGTCAAATTTCATCTTTTTAAATGAGGCCTTCCCTGAACTGTATATCTAAAATGCAGTACTCCCTGCCCTCAGAGGGCACAAAAAATACAATATCCCTTTCCCCCAAAACTCCCTGAACAGTTAACAGTATTCAACATTCTATGCATTTATCTGTTGTTTTTCTTCCCACCACTAGATTATACCCTCCTTAAGGACAGAATTATAATGTTTTGTTTATTTCTGTGCCTCCAGTCTAGAAACAATGTCTAGCATATGGTCAGTACTCGATAAATATTTGATTTCAGTGAATCAATAATTTTTCTCATGTAGCTATGTAAATTAATCTCATTGCTTTATAATCAAAGCTTATACATTGTCCCATTAAATAAAGAAATCCAATAAAGCATGATTATTCAAGTTGGCTTTTTTTTTTTTTTTTTTTTTTTTTGAGATGGAGTCTTGCTCTGTTACCCAGGCTGGAGTACAGTGGTGCAGTCTTGGCTCACTGCAGCTTCCGCCTCCTGGGTTCAAGCAGTTTTCAAGCAATTCCCCTGCCTCAGCCTCCTGCGTAGCTGGGACTACAGGCAAGTGCCACCACGCCCAGCTAATTTTTGTATTTTTAGTAGAGATGGCATTTCACCATTTTGGCCAGGATGGTCTCGATCTCCTGACCTCGTGATCTACCTACCTCCCAAAGTGCTGGGATTTACAGGCGTGAGCCACTGTGCCTGGCCCCAAGTATTTGACTACCTGCCATTTGCTTTTCTCAAAGAAATAGTTGAAAAAAACAACTTTTTTTTAACAAAAAGAGAGATGATACAAGTAGTATGTAATTGAGTTCAGAATAATGATACAGACTTAACTCCGGATTCCTAAAAGTGAAAAATAACTGTGAATAAGAGTAATTGGTAATGGGAACTCCATAAATAGGAATTGAGGTAAAACTTTAAGGATTTATAGAAGTTGAACATGTAGAGGAAAGAAGAGACTTAGAGTTTAAAGAGCTTAAAGAAGGAGAACAGCCTGCATGGGCAGAAGAGTTTGTTATTGAAACTAATGGGAGGATAAAGGAACAAAGGAAATTTGGGGTTCAGATTACCAAGCAGTAAATGGCCGTCTGGCCATCACAATCACTGGACCAAGTGACTCCTGTGATAGAAATGAAAGTGTGAAAAAAATCAGCAAGTTTATATACCCTGAAATCACTAGATCTTTTAGCACCCTGGTGGAGCTTTTCAGGATAAGGAAGAGATACATATATATAGATTTAATTATGTATTTTTCACTTCAAGATTGTGTATAAATATGTGATTTCTTGAAGACAATTTTATTAATACATCTATTGGGTGTAACATCAGACAAATGCAGTAGGTTAGTCCAGCACCATAACTTTATGGGAATCTCTTGACTCAGGGGAGAACATGTCAGGGAGGGGTCTCTGTAGACTTTGGCAGGGAGGTCCCAACATAGAAGCAGCACAGATTATCCTCATTGACTGCCCTTTCTGCAATGATAAAGGTAAGCTTCAGTGATCATTTATGTTCAGTTGATACTTGATAATGAAGTATTCCAAGTACTCAAAGTGCTTTCTAAACCATCATACCCAAATGAATATTTTCTAGTAGTTTTCATTAGGGTATATTTTATGAAGTTATGATTCAAAGGAAGTGTGTAAACTGTACATCTCTCAAGTAATCAGCATTAAATTAGCATGACTCCCCAAACCCCATTCACTCTGGATCAGGTCAGTTGTTCATGGTTTTATTAGAGATGAGACTACAGACTGTAGATACCTTCCTTATTACACCATTGTGCTCTCCTTGGTCACCCTTGTAGGCATGGTGGGGGGAACAGGGGAAATGGGGAGCCAGCATGAGGAGGCCTGAGTTCTGTTGCAGCTCCACAAGTAGCCAGGCACTTCCCTTTCACTTTTAACTTTGATTTTTCTATCAGTGAATTGGATAAAATTAGGCATGACATTTGTTGTTGTTTATTCACTTTAAGCTTGTAATTAGAGCACTGTGGGCTTTCCCCCTCATTAGTCTTACTGTGGTTACAGGATCAGCTTACACTAGATCAGAGTTTCTTAAATTGTGGTGAAGTACTTTTTTATTTTTGTTTGTTTCATGGTTTACTTTCAATCTGTTGTAAACTGATACCTTTGAAAAATTCAATAAAAATGGATTTTTAGCTGAGCACTGGGACTCGTGCCTGTAATTCCAGTGCTTTGGGAGGCCAAGGTGGGACGATATCTTGAGGCTAGGAGTTTGAGACCAGCCTGGGCAACATAGTGAGACCCTACCTCTAAAATAATTTTTTAAAAATTACCTAAGCACTGTGACTCATGTCTGTAGTCCCAGCTACTCAGGAGGCTGCGGCAGGAGGATCACTTGAGCCCAGGAGTTCAAGGTTACAGTGAGCTATGATCAAGCCACTGAACTCCAGGCTGGGCATTAGAGGAAAACTCCATCTTTTAAAAAAATAACTTTTAGAAAAATGAAATAAAATACATGAAAAATGTATTATAAGCTCACTTTATTAGATTTGACAAATATAAAATGCTCAGTCAAATTGGTAAAAGTCTCTACACAGTTATTCTCAGTTTCTTTACTTCTTTGCTTGTCACAGCTTGGTAACAGAGGATTCTGGACCAATACTAGTCCATGGCCCACACTTTGAGCAGCAGTGCACTAGATGACAGTTTGTTTCCCCGCCCCCCCACTCATTTGTCTGCTATAGATGACAATGTTTAGGGTTGCTGGAGCAGAACTCTGGACATCTGTGGGTCTGGAATACCAAGCATGGGAAACTGAAGCCAGGATGGGAGTCAAGAATTAAGTTAACAAGTTTAAATAGGAAGCAAATACTTTGTAGTGGTCCTAAAATACATCTCTGCACATTTGAAAATGCATCATTTATGGCTTTATTTTGTAGTTTTGAGGGATTTTTGTCACTAAAAATCAAACCATCTGAAGTGCTGATAAGAAGCCACATTCCCTAAACCTGTGGAAAGCAGAGTCTCTGGAAATGGAGCCTGGGAATTGCATTTAAAAAATAAGTCTCTCTTCTTCTTTCCCCAAGTAAATCTTGTATAGAGAGTTATTGCTGTGGGAATTTTAGTTGTGTGTATGTTTTAAACAAATGATGTAAAGGAAACAATTAACTACACTGTAATTTTTTTCCTAGTTATATCAGAGGAAGAAAATGAGCTAGGGCTCTTTTTAAAGTTTCAAGCGGAACGGGATGCAACTCAAGCTGGCAAAATGATGGATGCCACTGGCAAGGCACTCTGTTCTTCAGCCAAGCAAAGGTTTACCATGGTTGTTCATCATCTCGAATCTGTAGTCAATCTGATAGTTTTGACATATGTACTTAAATTTTCATATTTGTAAAGATCACTGTTCAGCCTAATAAAGGGTTAAAGAAAAATATATTGCAGTTATATGTTTTGACACCTAATTCTTAATTACTAATTTTGTATGCAAAATAATTATTTAATGATTAATGTTCTTGATTGCTAAATTTCTAGAAATAGCCTTTAGGCCTGTATTTATTTTTCTTTTATTTCCTCTACAATCAGACAAGTGTCAGTTATGTCTCTCAACTGGTTTAATGTAACAGTCACAGAATAACTAACATCTTAAAAAGGTATATTTTCTTTTTTTCGATTTCACTTTTTGATACTCTACTGTAAATATATTGGTACTTTTTAAGTAGAAGAAATTTTTTCTTCTTAATTGCATGCTTTCCAGTTATTATTTCAGTTTCTAATATAATGATACCTGCTGCAAAGAATCTTCTATAATTACTAAGCATAGCCCAAATCTTTGTATTTAAGAAGAAGAATAAAACAGTCTTCATCAGACCTATAATAAGGATGTACAGCTTAGGATAGCTTTACTCTGAAACATCACATCAGTGCAAAAGTCTATCTCAAAGGAAGTTACATGAGGTACTAAGTACAGGGACCTTCAATGCCACTAAGCCAAAAGCAGAGCAGAGGAATTGGATTTAATTTGTTTTTTTAAAAAATACTTGTTATCTTGTCCTTATCCTCAGCTGCTAAGAACTCCATACTCATTAGTTCTCCTAGCATCTTATCTGCTCTTCCAAACCCAGGTTTTCCCTGAACTTGTCAAATGAAGGCTTTCTGTTAATTGGATGATGCTTTATGAATGCAGGTTCTCTGTTCCCCTCAGAACTGTTCTCTAAATGGCAGATTTACTGGGCAGGTTACTTATACATGAAATAACATCCAAAGTATTGCAAAAATGACATATTTCCTAAAGTAACAAGTGGGGAGGTGTAGACACACCTTTTTTTTTTTTTTTTTTTTTTTTTGAGATGGAGTTTTGATCTGTTGCCCAGGCTGGAGTGCACTGGCACAATATCGGCTCACTGCAACCTCCACCTCCCAGGTTCAAGCGATTCTCCTGCCTCAGCCTCCTGAGTAGCTGGGATTACAGGCACCCACCACCATGCCTGGCTAATTTTTTGTATTTTTAGTAGAGATGGGGTTTCACCATATTGGCCAGGCTGGTCTCAAACTCCTGATCTCAGGTGATCTGCCCACCTCCCAAAGTGCTGGGATTACAGGCGTGAGCCACCATGTCTGGCTGTCACATCTTTATTGATAATTCAGAGTTGGCTATATGATCCTAATTTTCTTTCTAAATCTCCTTAGGGAACTTAATAATTTTTTACTTGTAGATTGATCTTGTTAGCAAATATGCTTTATCATTGGTTTAAACCTTTTTTTTGTTTTACTTATGATGTGTTCAACCCTCTGATTTTTACCTCTCTGCCATTAGATTGGCCCTGTGTACTCCTCTGTCTCGTCTGAAGCAAGAAGTAGCAACATTCAGTCAAAGGGCGGTATCTGATACCTTAATGACAATTAATCGGATGGAGCAGGCGCGCACAGAATACAGAGGAGCTCTGCTGTGGATGAAAGATGTATCCCAAGAGCTGGACCCAGACACCTTAAAGCAAATGGAAAAGTTTAGAAAAGTATGAAAATGTATCCCTTTCCTTTTCTTGATGTATGAAATATGGAACTGCCATAGAATAATTTAATTAAGATCATAAAATTTCAGATGTTTTTTGAGAAATGTTTCATTATAAATTCTTGGTTGCTTGGAAACTGTAGTTGAAGTACAAAAGCTTGTCACACTTTTATTTTTACTCCTGGAGTGACATCTTCACACCATCTACCTTTTTTATTAATTTTTTTTTATCCCTCTCATGATAGATCTAAATTACTTATTAAATGTTGCTTGCTTGGACTTCTGAGATTCATCTGCAGGAAGAAAATAGTTTATTACAGAGGACAAAAATAATTTAAGTAAAAACTCATGTAAAATGATTGTTAATTATAAGAAAATATGAAGGTTATCAAAATTTTTGTTTGGTGACAATTCAAAGTTTGGCCACAAACTTCATAAGTAATTATGTATAAACATACATTTTTGCTAAATAAACTGCTTATTACAAATTATATCCCCTAATTTTACCATACATAAATAATAAAATTCATTTTGTCATTCATTTTATAAATATTTAGAGAACCCATAATAAATATCATAATATTTAATATTGATGGAGCCAGGACATTTGGGCCAGCTGTTAAGTGGTTTGCCTCATTGATTACACACAACAGCCCTATGAAGTAGGTGAATACGTGGCCTCAAGCCACCACGACCTCATATTCCACCCCTTTTACGATCTTTGACAGTGAGAATACAGTCCAAGGGAGTGATTGAACGACATTGTGAATGCACTAACTGCCACTGAATTGAAAATTTTTAAATTGCTAATTGTATGTTATGCAACTCTCACCTCAATTTTTAGAAGAAGAATAATGTATTAGTCTGTTTTCATGCTGCTGATAAAGACATAACCGAGACTGGGTAGATAAGGAGATTTAATTGACTTACAGTTCCACGTTGCTGGGGAGGCCTCACAATGATGGCGGAAGGCAGAGAGGAGCAAGTCATGTCTTACATGGATGGTGGCAGGGAAAAAGAGCTTGCGTAGGGAAACTACCTTCTTTAAAACCATCAGATCTAGGCCGGGCACAGTGGCTCATGCCTGTAATCCTAGCACTTTGGGAGGCCAAGGTGGGTGGATCACCTGAGGTCAGGAGTTTAAGACCAGCCTGGCCATCATGGTGAACCCCCATCTTTAAAAATAAATAAATAAATAAATAAATAAATAAAACCATCAGATCTTGTCAGACTTACTATCATGAGAATAGCACAGGAAAGACCTGCCCCCAATTCAGTTATCTCCCACTGGGTCCCTCCCATAACACATGGGAATACAAGATGAGTTTTGGGCAGGGACACAGCCAAACCATATCAAATACAATCCAAGTCCCCATCTGGACCCCCAAAACCCTGCATGGCCTGATCCCGGGTCCCTCCACAGCCATACTTTGTACTTGCTTTCTACACTCCAGGAAGAATGTGCTATACTCACTTCCTTCTTGTTCTTCTAACATGATAAGGTCTCCACCACCTCCCACTTTCAGGACCTTTGTCCTTGCTTGTCCCTGGTTCTGGAATGCTCTCCCCAGGGTCTTAGCTTAGCCTGCTCATCATCTTTCTGTCCCAGTTCAAACATCGTGCATGATCTCACCAAGGACCTCCATGTCATTTTATTAAAGGTAGTCAGTCACTCATTTCTGCAACCTGAGATTATCATATATTTATGTACTTCTTTTTTCCCTGTGCCTCCTACCCAAGAATGGTAGGGAAGAACATTGTTTTGTTCATCACAATGTCTCAGTGCCCAGAACACTGCCTTGCATGTAATAGGTACCTTAACTTTTTAATATATTAATTCATTCAACAAATATTCAAATATTTGTTAATTAATATATCAAAAAGTTGACTATTCACATTACCCAATGACATGACTCACCATTTATTCAAGAAATGTAATAGGCCTCTATTAAAATTTATAAATATCTGCATGGTTCAGAAATATTACTAATGTTTCTCAGCATTTTAGTGAGGTCCCCTTTCCATTTATTCTTCTGCTGTTAGCTAAGTGCTATTCATGAATAGTTTTAGATGTTCCTTTTTATTTGGAATACTTTTTAAAAAACTATGTACTTTCCATCTATTATCTCGTACTTTCTCAGCATAAAGATATCTTCTGGAAAGAATCTCCCACAATTACGAACAGTTGCCAAAATCTTCATTATTCATGAAATATTAGTGATACAGGGAAAAGTAATTAGTCTTTATTAGAAGTTATTTCTGAAAATATGAACCTGTATACTATATTTATATCTGTAATAATATATTTATACTATATATCTATAATAAAAATTAGCATTTTTATTGCAGGTACAGATGCAAGTAAGAAATAGCAAAGCTTCTTTTGACAAGTTAAAGATGGATGTTTGTCAGAAAGTGGATTTACTTGGAGCTAGTCGCTGCAATATGCTATCTCATTCACTCACTACCTACCAGGTACCCACCTCCATGATCAGCATGCCCTTGCAGTAAAGATGAGTGGTGAGATTCCTTTTTAAAAGTTGTCTAAAGGGTGCAGAAAATTTTGTGTGATTAGATTCCTTTGGCTTTGCTATAATTGCTTTATTGAGGTTATGAAAGTCAGAGAGTCATAAAGTTCTGGAAAAGACCTTAGAGATTGTCTACTTCTGTAGCTATTCTCTTTGGTGTCATAGGAGAGAGAGAGACCAATGGACCATTTGAGATTGAAGAGGCAAATCCTAAGGCCCATTTGCCCTGGTTTAACCTGAGTTGTTCCACTTCTGGGTTTGAAGTTCTATATACAATTTCATCTGAAGCAAAGATGCTGCACCCACAAAAGTTTAAAAACTTTTCTGTTGTTTTATGGATGAGGAAAATGACACCTATGAGAATTAAACTGAGAGGCAATGTTGAGCTTAGAAACCAAAGTTTTCTAATTCTGGATTGTGTGTTCTTTTCATTCTGCCAAGTTGCCATCCCATATCACTTTAACCTCAGAAATTTCACTTGTGCTTATGTTACTATAAATCACATATAAATAACATACAATGTATAAGTTAGATATTAATAAATAGCAGTTATTGATTTTTACATATATTTTAAATAGAAAAAAAATTGAATAAACTATACTTAAGAAAAGAGTAATAAACTATAGGAAATGGACATTCCCTCCTGCTTTTAGGGAGTCTGCCTATTTCAGTTCAATTCTGTGGGATTCAGGAATGGAGAAAGGATGTACTTTAAAATAACAATGTGTGATATCTCTTTAGCATCTTGCCTGAAGCACACTAGCTGTGAATTCAGTTCTCCTTTATTATCTCCATTCTTCCCCCTCACTTTAATCAGGAACCTTGAAGCAGCAAGGAAAGTTTCCAATTACTTGAGTTAGCTTGAGAACACATTTTTTTGGCAAATCTTTCTTGAACTCTAGATGAAAGGCCAGATTTAGTGGTAAATGGAATTTTTCTCCAATTAAAAAAATGTTTATATATTCCCATTACCATAAAGATTACACATATGCCCCTCCTTTTATAGAGATCGGTATTTTTGTGCTTTTAACATTTCTCTCTTCAATACCTCAAATGTTCTAATCCTTCAGTTTTCATTCTTTTAGCTGCAATCACTCTCTAGGTGCCTCCATTGTGCATTCCTGTGCTGTTTATACAGACAACACCCACACGTGCAGACACAGATGCCAATTCTTATGCAAAATGATTATTTGTAGTGCTTTATGGTTCCCCAAACTTGGAAAACTGAATTTAGTTCCTGCTTCTTCTTATTTGTCAACTGTTCATCTACTAAACTAGTAAGGAAATACAGCACTTAAAAAACTATGGAGGGGAATCAGAACTGTAGAGTCACCTTTTCTTATTTTGCAGAGAACACTGCTTGGATTCTGGGAGAAAACAGCTCGAATGATGTCCCAAATTCATGAAGCCTGTATTGGCTTTCATCCATATGATTTTGTAGCTCTCAAGGTACGTTGTGTTCCATGTTCTCTTGTTTAGATGTATTACACTTCATTTGGGTGATAACATTGAAACTATTTTTTTTTTTTTTTTTACCAAGGTTGATTTAAAATTTACAAAACATTGAGAAACATTTTCCTTCAGCCAAGGATCAGCACTTTCCTAATTGCAAATGCTGCCAGCAACACTGAAATACATAGGAATACTGCTGGCAGGCTCAAGATAGTAGTAGGACAGGGAAAAAGTGGGGAGAACTTGAAAAAATTTAAATGCAAAAGAGATAAGAAAAGGCTATGGAAAGGAAAAATTTAAGAGGAACAAGTGATGGAAAGTGGTCATGTGTTCTCAAAAGTGACCAGATTATCTACCTGAAAATATTAAAAGTTAGAGAAAAACTTCACTGTTTTACTTTTACACTAGTCATAGATATAATTCATGATACCAACATTATGCCAGGTTTCAGTACCTTTTAACTTACCATTCATTCTGCCTTACTTTCAGTAAAGCTTGAAAGCTTTGCTGGCTGGTTTCTTCAAGCTGAATGTGGTATTTGTGATAGGCTCATATCTTACATATTCCTAGGGATTAGGAAGGATGTTAAAGTCATGTTCTGACACGGCATCTTCCAGCCCCAAAGATGCCCTTGAATTAGGTTGGTTTTTGTTTTGTTTTGTTTTTACTTTTTCTATAATAAATGTTTCACTGTATGGCATACTACATATTTAGGCAAATTTTATATCCAATTTCTGCTCAGAATCAAAATTGAAAATCTTTAGCTGTATTTAGGGCATTGCAATACAGGCCAACAACACAGTTTAAGTCTTCGTTAGGCCTATTACAAAGTTGTTAAAATAATCTGTGGCTACCCTACATCACAGTATGTGCAGTTTACACAGGAAGCCAGGAGAAACAAGTATTGGAGCTCAGTAGCTCAGTTCAGATTACATTAGCATACATGTCCTATATCTTTTACTTTCTAGTTCAGAACTTCCTATTTCATATGATTCTTCAGAATTTTTATTCTCATTTTCTTTGCAGAGAGGAAGAAACATTCTTTCTATCTACTTAACATTGACTTTCTTATCCTTAGCAACTACAAGGCACTCCAAGCAAGCTTAGTGAAGACTATAAAGAAGAACAAATAGGCGGTTTTCTTTCTGAACACCTCAATAAGTAAGCAGGCATAAGTCATATGTGTCATGCTATAGAAATCCTTGATACTATCATATGATATATGTGGAAAGAATTGTTTTTTCTCTTACTGAATATTTATTTCTGTGTCATTTTTCCTTTTTTTTTTTTTTTTTTTTGAGACAGAGTCTCACTCTGTTGCCAGGCTGGAGTGCAAGTGGCATGATCTTGGCTCACTACAATCTCTGCCTCCTGGGTTCAAGCAATTCTTCTGACTCAGCCTCTGAGTAGCTGGGACTACAGGTGCCTACCACCATGCTCAGCTAATCTTTTGTGTTTTTGTAAAGATGGCGTTTCACCATATTGGCCAGGATGGTCTTGATCTTCTGACCTCGTGATCTGCCTGCCTTGTCCTCCCAAAGTGCTGGGATTACAGGCGTGAGCCACTGCCCCTGGCCTCTATGTCATTTTTCCAATCAACACTAAACATTTGTGTCATAGTCTGTTTTGTGTTGCTATAACAGAATACCTGAGACAGGGTAATTTATAAAGTAAAGAAGTTTAGCTCATGGTTCTGCAGGTTGGGAAGTTCAAGAGCATGGCCCTGGTTTCTGGTGAGGGCTTTAGTACTGCTTCATAACATGGTAGAGAAAGTCAAAGGGGAAGCAGACCTGTGTGAAGAGGCAAAATCAAGGGGTGTGCTGGCTGTATAACAACCCATTCAGAAGCATTCCTGAGAGATCTCATGGGAGTGAGAACTCACTCATTACCATGAAAAAGGCACCAAACCATTCATGAGGGATCTGCCCTCATGACCCAAACACCTCTTACTAGGTCTCCACCTCCCAATACTCCCATGCTGAGAGGTTGGAGTCAAATTTCAACAAGAGTTTTGATGAGGAGGAATTCAAACCTTAGCAATTTGTTTTAAAACTTTATGTATTTTTTCCCATTTTTTTGTTTAATATCCAGATCCTGCACAATTTTTTTTTCCATTTTTTAACATAGCAGGCAAAGGACATGACAGGAGTATCAAACTGATTGGGGTGATTAAGAGTCTGTCATTTGGGATATTGAGCCTTGTATCGAGCCACAACTTCCTCTAGTGACTTTTGAAAGGGGCATCTTGAGAGAAGAAAGGGACAGGCACCCACAGCTGTGAAATAAACTATTAAAAATCCGTTTCCAGAATAACATGCGTAGGACTGGGACTGGTTACCTGAAAAGAGAGGTTCTTGCCATTACATCCTTCATGTCACCTGTTTCTCTTTTATTATATTATATTGTCCCTTTGTTTTTATTTCAAAGCTGCTATTCTCATTTTAACCAGATTCAATATATTAACAAACTCAGAAATAAGGGCCAAACAACTTTCAATACTAGCACCTGTGAGGTCAGGCCCCAGATATAGTGACTATGTCTGTGTTCAGTTTCTTCATCTTAACTTTTTGTTTATTAGGCAGATGCTATGAATATCCAAAATTAGTATTGATTGAAGATATTTTAGGCTAATGTGTCTTGCAAACATCACTTTGTTGTTAAAAATAGGGTACTCCATCTTTCCTGGAGTTCCTCATTCCCTTGATTTAGTTCCCAAGTGTTCTTAAAACCTTTCAAGACTTGAAAATTAGGGGCCGGGCGCGGTGGCTCAAGCCTGTAATCCCAGCACTTTGGGAGGCCGAGGCGGGTGGATCACGAGGTCAAGAGATCGAGACCATCCTGGTCAACATGGTGAAACCCTGTCTCTACTAAAAATACAAAAAATTAGCTGGGCATGGTGGTGCGTGCCTGTAATCCCAGCTACTCAGGAGGCTGAGGCAGGAGAATTGCCTGAACCCAGGAGGCGGAGGTTGCGGTGAGCCGAGATCGCGCCATTGCACTCCAGCCTGGGTAACATGAGTGAAACTCCGTCTCAAAAAAAAAAAAAAAGACTTGAAAATGAAACTTCTTACTCTATGGCTTTGATGGTGAAGGTCCTTGAAGATTGAGTACTTAACATTGTGCCTACAGTGCTGAGCATCATGCCCGGTGCTTTGTAGATATTCAGTAAGTGTTTACTGAAGGAATAAGGGGTAAAAGGTCTGTGTAGTTCTATAGAAAATGTAGGAAATTCACCAGATACAGATTTTAGGGGATCTACTAGAAAATGATTTTATGTTTCCTGAGTAAAAAAATTTTTTAAACATGTAAAACTGTTTGGGGAATATGAATCGCAAATGTATTATAACCAAAAATATACATTTTTGTTTTGTTTTGTTTTACTTCAGGCTACTTTTGTCTGATGAGGAAGCAAGCTTTGAGAGTGAACAAGGTAAGATGGTAAATTTATTACTTTGAAATGGTCACATTTTAAATGTCGAAATAGTTTCTCACAGCCTTTTAGTAGAGACAGGGCTTCACCATGTTGGCCAGGCTGGTCTCGAACTCCTGACCTGAAGTGGTCTGCCCACCTCAGCCCAGTATCGCCATGATGGATATTATGTTACTATCCATTCAATTAACAGAACAGGCTAAGTAAGTCCCTTCTGTGGGAATACCTTTTGTTATCTTTCTAAGAGTACCTGATCAGAGGATCTAATAGTCTTTAGGGAATCAGGATTCTCAAAAATAGGTATATTTTTATTTTTTTAATTTTTGAGCTTCAAAATGTTTTATGGGTACATAGTAGGTGTATATATTTATGGGGTAGCTGAGATATTATGAAACAAGCATATAATGCATTATCATCCCATCAGGGTAAATGAGATATCCGTCACTCAAGCATTTATCATTTCTTTGTATTTCACACACTTTAATTATATTATTTTAGTGATTTGACTGGAGTCACCCTGTGTGCTACCTGTTGTGCTATCAAATACTAGATCTTATTCTATCTAACTGTATGTTTTTGTACCTATTAATCATCTCTGTTGCCCACCACTAACTTTCTCAGCCTTTGGTAAACATCCTTGCATTCTCTGTCTCCATGTTTTCAGTTGTTTTCATTTTGAGCTCCCACAAATGAATGAGAACATACAAATTTGTCTTTCTATGCCTAGCTGATTTTACTTACAATTATATCCTCCACTTCATTCCATGTTGTTGCAAATGACAGGATGTCATTCTTTTTAAAATTTTTAAATTATGATTATACTTTAAGTTCTAAGATACAAGTGCAGAATGTGCAGGTTTGTTACATAGGTATACACATGTCATGGTAGTTTGCTGCACCCATCAACCTGTCACCTACATTAGGTATTTCTCCTAATGCTATCCCTCCCCTACCCCCCTACTCCCCAGCAGCCCCCGGTGTGTGATGTTCCCCTCCCTCTGTCCATGTGTTCTCATTGTTCAGTGCCCACTTATGAGTGAGAACATGTGGTGTTTGGTTTTCTGTTTTTGTGTTAGTTTGCTGAGAATTATCATTTCCAGTTTCATCCATGTCCCTGCAAAGGACATGAACTCATCATTTTTTATGGCTGCATAGTATTCCATGAGGTATATGTGCCACATTTTCTTTTTCCAGTCTATCACTGATGGGCATTTAGGTTGGTTCCAAGTCTTTGCTATTGTGAACAGTGCTACAATAAACATACATGTGCATGTGCCTTTATAGTAGAATGATTTATAATGCTTTGGGCATATACCCAGTAATTGCTAGAACCAAATGGTATTTCTAATTCTAGATCCTTGAGGAACTGCCACACTGTCTTCCACAATGGTTTAACTAATTTACACTCCCATCAACAGTGTAAAAGCATTCCTATTTCTTCACATCCTCTCCAGCATCTGTTGTTTCCTGACTTTTTAATGATCACGATTCTAACTGGCATGAGATAGTATCTCATTGTTGTTTTGATTTGCATTTCTCTAATGACCAGTCGTGATAAATTTTTTTTTCATGTTTGTTAGCTGCATAAATGTCTTCTTTTGAAAAGTGTTTGTTCTGGCTGGGCATGGTGGCTTACACCTGTAATCCTAGCACTTTGGGAGGCCAAGGTGGGTGGTTCATGAGGTCAGGAGATCGAGACCATCCTGGCTAACACGATGAAACCCCATCTCTACTAAAAATACAAAAAATTAGCTGGGTGGGGTGGCATACACCTGTATCCCAGCTACTTGGGAGGCTGAGGGAGGAGAATTGCTTGAACCCAGGAGGCAGAGGTTACAGTGCGCCGAGATTGCGCCTCTGCACTCCAACCTGGGGAACAGAGTGAGACCCCATCTCAATTAAAAAAAAAAAAAAAGAGAAGTGTCTGTTCATATCCTTCACCCACTTTTTGATGGGGTTGTTTTTTTCTTGTAAATTTGTTTCAGTTCTTTGTAGATTCTGGATATTAGCCCTTTGTCAGATGGATAGATTGCAAAAATTTTCTCCCATTCTATAGATTGCCTGTTCACTCTGATGAGAGTTTCTTTTGCTGTTCAGAAGCTCTTTAGTTTAATTAAATCCCGTTTGTCAATTTTGGCTTTTCTTGCCATTGCTTTTGGTGTTTTAATCATGAAGTCTTTGCCCATGCCTGTGTCCTAAATGGTATTGCCTAGGTTTTCATCTAGGGTTTTTTTTTTTTTTCTTTTTTTTTCACCAAGACCATCATAAATCATCTGATGATCTTCTAGGGTTTTTATGGTTGTAGGTCTTACATTTAAGTCTTTAATCCATATTGATTAATTTTTGTACAAGGTATAAGGAAAGGATCCAGTTTCAGTTTTCTGCATATGACTATCCAGTTTTCCCAACATCATTTATCAAATAGGGAATCCTTTCCTCATTGCTGTTTTTGTCAGATTTGTCAAGGATCAGACGGTTGTAGATATGTGGTGTTATTTCTGAGGCCTCTGCTCTGTTCCATTGGTCTATATATATATTTTGGTACCAGTACAGTGCTGTTTTGGTTGCTGTAGCCTTGTAATACAATTTGATGTCAGGTAGCATGATGCCTTCAGCTTTGTTCTTTTTGCTTAGGATTGTATTGGCTATATGGGCTCTTTTTTGGTTACATATGAAATTTAAAGTAGTTTTTTCTAATTCTTTGAAGAAGGTCAATGGTAGCCTGATGAGGATAGCATTAAATGTATACATTACTTTGGATAGTGTGTCCATTTCCACGATATTGATTCTTCCTATCCATGAGCATGGAATGTTTTTTTCATTTGTTTGTGTCCTCTCTTATTTCCTTGAGCAGTGGTTTGCAGTTCTGGAAAGAAGTGCTTCACATCCCTTGTAAGTTGTATTCCTAGGTATTTTATTCTCTTTGTAGCAATTGTCAATAAAAGTTCACTCATCATTTGGCTTTCTCGGCTGAGTGCAGTAGTTCACACGTATAATCCCAGCACTTTGGGATCACCTGAAGTCGGGAGTTCGAGAACAGCCTGACCAACATGGAGAAACCCCATCTCTACTAAAAATACAAAATTAGCTGGGCGTGGTGGTGCATGCCTGTAATCCCAGCTACTCAGGAGTTTGAGGCAGGAGAATTGCTTGTTGCTTTAACCCAGGAGGCGGAGTTGCGGTGAGCCGAGACTGTGTCATTGCACTCCAGCCTGGGCAACAAGAGCAAGACTCCGTCTCAAAAACAAAAACAAACAAACCAACAAACAAAAGATTTGGCTTTCTGTTTGTCTATTATTGGTGTATAGGAATGCTTGTGATTTTTGCTCATTGATTTTTGTATCCTGAGACTTTGCTGAAGTTCCTTATCAGCTTAAGGAGATTTTGGGCTGAAATGATGGTGTTTTCTAAATATACAATCAGGTCATCTGAAAACAGAGACAATTTGACTTTCTCTTTTCCTATTTGAATACGCTTTATTTCTTTCTCTTGCCTGATTGCCCTGGCCAGAACTTCCAATTCTATGTTGACTAGGAGTGGTGAGAGAGGGCATCCTTGTCGTGTGCCGGTTTTCAAAGGGAATGCTTCCAGCTTTTGCCCATTCAGTATGATATTGGCTGTGGGTTTGTCATAGATAGCCCTTCTTATTTTGAATTGGCTGTGGGTTTGTCATAAATAGAGCTTATTATTTTAAGATATGTGCCATGAGTACCTACCTTATGGAGAGTTTTTAGCATGAAGGGTGTTGAATTTTGTCAAAGACCTTTTCTGCATCTATTGAGATAATTGTGGTTTTTGTCATTGGTTCCTTTTATGGGATGGATTATGTTTATTGATTTGCATATGTTGAACCAGACTTAAATCCCAGCGATGGAGCCAAATTGATCATGGTGGATAAACTTTTTGATGTGCTGCTGAATTCGATTTGCCAGTATTTTATTGAGGATTTTTGCATTGGTGTTCATCAGGGGTATTGGCCTGAAATTTTCTTTTTTCATTGTGTCCCTGCCAGGTTTTGGTATCAGGATGATGCTGGCCTCATAAAATGAGTTATGGAGAAGTCCCTCTTATTCTATTGTTTGGAATAGTTTCAGAAGGAATGGTACCAGCTCCACTTTGTACCTCTGGTAGAATTCAGCTGTGAATCCGTCTGGTTCTGGGCTTTTTGGTTGGTAGACTATTAATTATTACCTCTATTTCAGAACTTGTTATTGGTCTATGCAGGGATTCAGCTTCTTCTTGATTTAGTCTTGGTAGGGTGTATGTGTCCAGGAATTTATCCATTTCTTCTAGATTTTCCAGTTTATTTGCATAGAGGTGTTTATAGTATTCCCTAATGGTAGTTTGTATTTTTGTGGGATCAGTGGTGATATCCCTCTATTATTTTTTATTTTGTCTGTCTGATTTTTCTCTCTTCTTCTTTCTTAGTCTGGCTAGCAAGTAGTCTATGTATTTTGTTAGTCTTTTCAAAAAACCAGCTCCTAGATTCATTGATTTTTTTGTGTGTGTCTCTATCTCCTTCAGTTCTGCTCTGATCTTAGTTATTTTTTATCTTCTGCTAGCTTTTGAATTTGTTTGCTCTTGCTTCTCTAGTTCTTTTAATTATGATGTCGGGGTATCAATTTTAGATCTTTACTGCTTTCTTCTGTGGACATTTAGTGCTATAAATTTTCCTCTAAACACTGCTTTGACTGTGTCACAGAAATTCTGGTAGGTTATATCTTTGTCCTCATTGGTTTCAAGGAACTTATTTATTTCTGCCTTAATTTTGCTATTTATCCAGTAGTCATTCAGAAGCAGGTTGTTCAGTTTCTATGTAGTTGTGTAGTTTTGAGTGAGTTTCTTAATCCTGAGTTCTTTTGATTGCGCTATGGTCCAAGAGACTGTTTGTTATGATTTGCATTCTTTTGCATTTGCTGAGGAATGTTTTAGTTCCAATTATCTGGTTGTTTTTAGAATACGTGCTATGTGGCACTGAGAAGAATGTATATTCTGTGGAT